ACACGTTGCTTATTCATTAACGATGTATATACAAACACACAAGTATATGTACATACATATGTATTATGATTTTTTTGATTTCTGCAAAGTGCAGCGGACCAGCGGAAATTCCCCAAACAAAGGCTGGTCGATGCATGCAGACATTTTTATATCGATATTCTATCCATTTACATCTTCCGCCATAATATGAAGGAGATTTCATTGTATTTTTTATTTATGAATGGTTTTTACCATCCTTTCTTCTAAATTGGTTCGAACTGAGCACAGTGTGGAGCCCATCGCGAACAAACAACGTGTCACGTAATTTTTATACGCGAACTAATTCCTCGGTTTTAAAAGTATTGATCTGAAATTTTCCACACGTTATTTTCGCCGATATCGAATCACTATAGCATATAGCTGTCACACAATCCGAACGATCGGAATCAAGTTCTTGTATAAACAAGTTTTTAATTTAACGAGATATCTTCACTAAATTTGGTACAGATTCTTATCTAAAGCAATAATGTAATATCTGCAGAAATTGTTCAAATCGGATCACTATAGCATATATGTAGCTGTCATATAAACTAACCGTTCGAAATCAAAATCTTATAAGGAATCCGGAGGCAACATGTTTTTCTTTTTTATTGTGCGTAACTGCGAATTAATGAAATTCCATAGCCAGCAAATAACTGTGTGTTTTGTAATGCAACCCTTTTCACGCCCATTTCCGCATTATGTATCACATTGCAGCAAGTACCTTGAGAAAAAGACCTAGAAATGCAGCATATGCAGTGTGTTTGTGTGGTCACGCTCGACATTGGACTTATTGGACTTGCTTAGGTCACCATTGCGGCAACAGAGTGGTGGATTTTATCCTAATTGTGTTTTTTTTTTTTTTGCTAACATTTCACATAGTAGTAGTAATTCTTTCACTTTATAAAATCTAATTAAAGCTGGGCCGCTCATAAAATAACTGTAAGCTTGCGAAAATTCGGTGTTTCAGCGGCTGCTGAACATATTTTGTTATCTGGCTCATTTATTCTACTGGCATTACATATTTATGCATATAAACATACAATTATAAGAAACATAAACTTATTTTGTTGTATATTTTTCCTCTTGCATACACTCGCGCGCTAAGAATGCGGAAAGCCAGCTTCTAGCTTCACAGCGCTGGCGATTTCCAACATCTGCAGAGCCCGGCTGCCAATTAATATGCGACGCTATCTATTGGCGGCAAATAAAAGTGTATAGTATAACTGTAATATATGAGTACAGGCGAGTTTATTTGATTCACATTTATTAAATCATAAATCACATGAGAAACAATGCAATATGACTGCTCGAAATTGAGATACAATATTTGTGTGCGTCAAATTGATAAAATTGTGTGCATGAAAAGCGCGTCCAAGCGCTGTCATCTAATTGCAATTTGCTTTTATTGTGCACTTTATTGGCACTATACCGCCTTTATTTGCATATATTCATGTACATACATATGTATATATTATGGATATGTGTGCATTTAGCCTCAAGGTGGGTGGTTACATGAGCGCCCATTAACCAGTCAAATGTTGGAGAAGTCAGTAAGTGCTGGAAAATTGCAGTTCAATTTTGTTAAAGCTGCGGATTGTGATTGCCTGTGGGTAAAGAACTCAAATTAAATTGCTGCGACACATGAGACTTTTTACATAATTAAAAGTAGAAGTAAACAGTTGTCTTTCAGTATTTTATGAAGGCCATTTGGCGGTTACAATATATTATAGTTTTTCTTTATTGTATAGACATGACAAAATTGAACTCAACTCGATTGAGAATTATTACGGACGATAGTCGTTTCATTGGCTCCAGTGGCACCTACTGTAAACCAGTTCCCGTACATGTTTATATGTATCTTTGCATTAACATGATATTTGGTAGTCGAAAAAGTCTTTTCGTATTTCTAATCAAACTTCAACTTACTTTTTTTAATTTATAATAATACCTAAATAGAAAAATATGCACCATTTTGGTCGACCACTTTTAGCCGTTTTTCCACTAGAGAAATTATTCCATCATTCAAAGATGTAAATCGAAATTTCGAAATTTCCAGAACGGAAGGGAGCGAACCATTGTTGTGCTACACGTCTTAAACTTCACAAATTTCAGTGGTGGCTTGCGTGGCATTCTTCCACTTTTTATGCAAAAATATGCGAATTTCTTCATTATTTACACTCATTTCTGAAAAGCTGTAACTTTTTTTCAACTTCCCCGAATTAAATTTTTTTTTGGTGGAATGAAGCTTAAAATCTCACCTTTCCAACACTATATGGTATGACAGAATGTCATTGGTAGCACGGGAGATATACGACTGCAACGTACATATATACTTAAATTGAGCTAGTGTCGATTTTGAAATTTTAATTTTCTAGTAAAAATCAGTATATATCCTCACTCTTTATTCTATTCTAATTACAAAATCTCTATTTAAATTTAGGATTATTTCGACTATCAAAAAAGTCGATTCGAATTACTTTCGTCGAATTCAGGTAGTTTAACATATTGCCACAAACTGGCATGTCTGTCCATATGTATGCGCGCATATAACATTAAATTTTAAAAATTGCACAGTCTTAACTACATGCAATTCATCTATGAACGAATGTAAATATAATATATTTACTATGGATGTACTAATCCTCTTGAGCTCACATCAATCTTTTCCATTTATATTCAATTATCTAGTCATGTGTATATATGTACATATATATATTTATTATGCAATCGAAAGCTTTGCTGTAAGTTAGTTGGAGGCGGTGTGACAAATGTATATGCAAGCCTTTGAATGTCTCCCATTTACGCAGGGGGGCATAACGTGCGAAACTGGGTGAAGGCCACCAAGCATTATTAAAACATGTCTATAAATGTTTACATGTGAGTCGTATTGCCAAGGCTTAGTGGAACAGTATTTAACTGCTAAGCATTATTCTAACAAGCGACGCAGCAATATGCATTTCATACTAACACTCAGCCTGTATACTCGTATATATGTATATACATATTCCTTTGTAGGGGACTTGTCTTAGCAAAGAAGAAGCGGCCTTGTCAACTTTCGTTATTAATTATAATTACTTTTTATAATCAAAATATATGACTAAGGCGCAATTAAGTACAAAAACCTAGTAAAGCAGCTGTGCTATTCTCGTATTGACAACCAGTTCATCGTACCACTTATTATTATGCGAGTTTACTCCATTCCGCTCCGTTCGTTGCGTTCGGTTTCATTTCATGCCGTGGTCAATATAACTTCATGATTTTGTGCGGTAGCGAAAGCAAATTGCAGGTGTTTTTATTGATTACTGCTACTGTGTTGTAATTATGTGTTTCTACCACACATTTTTACACTTCACTAAACCTTCTATGGCGTTAGCTGAATGATATAACAATAAGCTGCCGTAATAACCTTTGAATCCTTGAATCATTGTATATCAAACCTTTTAGTTAAAATCAAAATCGCTTATTTTGTTGTATTAATAAGTATTTATTGTTTTATTTTCTTTTTTTTCATAGGAATATTAGAAACAAATTCTTATCATCTATGGTATACGTTATACTTAGATATAGTTTGTGTAGACATGTATAGTTTGTATACATTTAAAGCATTTTTCTCTTAACAAATATTTGTATTTTAAGCAAACTAACTGTTTTTAAGTTACTTCATACATATTTGTATATATAGATTGATGTATATTTAAATAAAATTCAACATTTATAAATTATATAAAGCAGAAAACTCTAAGTTATACTTGGCAAGTCCATTTTTTATACAAAGTTCAAACTATAACTAGCAGCTAGTAAATATTTAAATTTGTTTCTTTTTATTTATGAACTATAAATGAACTGTCGCGAACACTGGAGCTGGGTTTCTTGGTTCCCAAGCGCCACATGTTCGCAAAAGTTCAAGTATAGTTTTACAACATGATTAAGAGTCTTGTATGCAATTTTGTTATAATTTCTCTACAGCGCTATTCGGAAATGGCAGTTTCAAAGTTGTATAGTTTTCGTTTTTTCTAAGAAATTTGGAAGCATTTTTCCTTGAAAACCGTTTGAAACTTATTTTTTATTACTTCTTCTCACCCCTTTTGCTAACCGGCTTCCCACTAATTAGTACTTTTTGTTGTAAATTTAATTAATAAAATTTAAGTGAAATAAATTTATTCGCTGTCACTAACACAACCAGTATCTCATATGGTTTCATATCACACTGTATTAGTTTTAATATAAAAATCTCTTGATTAAATTAGTATACTTTCAAAGTTCGATTAGTTTATAAAAATGTTTTTCATAAAATATAACTATTTTATTTGTTGAATGCAAAAATATACCCTGTATCTATAATATAATGTTTTTGTGTGATATTGCCTTACCAGACGTCGGATGAGCCTAAAAATAGACAATGTACCGATCGCCGTTGCCAGTGAAATTTCCTAAATGGGTACCGTTGAAGCGCATTTTTCTTTTCAACTAGCTGTCACCATTGCATTCGTTTGCCCAGATTCAGCTATTTACAAAATTTTTGGGCTGCTTGCCAATTTGCACCGCAATTGCTTGGCGCGCTCCCGCATCTGTCTAGTCATCGTTTCTTTTCCAACTACCAATGCGGCTGTGACCTTGCTTTTGTATTGGTCGCGTCAAGTACTGTGTAGCCATAGTATATCGCTACTGTGACAGCCTTCGCTTCCACTTTTCCTCCGCTTTGTTTCACTCAACTAAAAGCAATGCGTACCAAACATCTAAAGCCAACATTGCTGCCACGAAACCCAAAATATAGCTGAAAGCATGCAAAGCCTGTTCTGGACCATTCATGCGGTCTTATCCTGGCGCGCTCTTCGAACTGAATCGAGATGTTGATCGGCGTAGGAAATGCAGCCGTTTACGTGTTTTTCGACTGCGACCAGTCGCTTCCGCTTGTTTTGGTTTTGGTTTCTCTGTAGTTTCCGCAGTAGCGCCTGTTGTTGTTGGAGTTTTAGTATGTTTATGCTGTAGCTTCGTGCCCGTTAGCAACTGACGTCTGTCGCCGCCGCCAAACAAGCTTGATCCATCTGAGCTAGAGTATAGCTCAATTGTCGACGTGGCGTCTACTTGAGCAACTATCGAATGCTGCTCAGCGGCGGAGAGTTGCATTTTAGCGAATTTCTTATGGCAACGCTTAAGATTTGCACGCGTTAACGGCGCCGTGATGCGCCGCCCCAAGTGTGTAGCCAGTAAACTGGGCGCTGCATTGACATTGCTGTCTTCGAACTTGGGCCAATCCTCTGCACCTTCAGCGACATCTGCTGCAACGATATCGCTTTCCTTGTGGGTTGTGGCGGTATCCGCCGACGCGCAGCTAACATCGCGTGCGGCCGACTGTCGTCTGCTTGCTCTACCTTCCGGACTGTCGGCCGACGAACGCTGTTGCGCTTCCCTATTGTGTTTAAAATTATTGTTTTCTGCTTTTGTTGTGCTGCCATCTTCATTATGATAGCTGCCGCTACTGTTGCTGTTGTGTAGAGCGCTTTCCCGTTCTCATGAACGCTTGGCGCTGTCCTTGCGAAAGGACTTGCGCAGCTTATCGACCAAACGCAAATGAAATTTCGTGATATCGTTCTGGCTTTCCGTCGTATTTATTGTCTTGGGCGGACTTGAGGCCTGGCTAAAGGAACGTGTTGGCGAGAGAGCACCAGCGGCAGACGAGTGCGAGGTACGCGATGCGTTACGGGGAAAGGCGCGCGATGACTGACAACGCTGCATCTGCATGCGATAGGTGTGTGAAGGTGAAGTGGCGAAGCTCTCGGACTTGCATTCGGACACTTTGCGCACACGTCCATTGGCCGGCACACCCATGGCGGAAGACAGTGTGGGTGCGCCACCATTTGAGCTGGTTGTGGAGCACTCCGATGTTTTTCGTGAACGACTATCCTTATAGATATCGTAGTTATTCTTCATGACAGGCATCATAAAAGCCATTTCGAATGTGTATTTAATTTGTACAAATCGCGATTTGAATGGATAAGTTAGAGAAAATTATTGACTAAATGCAAACTGCAAAGGCACTCCACTAAAGCGAAGTTAATAGTTATATTTGCGTTTGTGAGTTTTCTTCTAGAACCTTCCAATGGCTTCGTTTCGCTTCACTTTTCCAGTGACGAATTTCAATGCACTTCGTTTATTCTGTTTTAAATTCTTATTTCGACGAAGCCGTGTACAAAATCGGTTGCACTTCCACACTTTATATCTTTACTTCACAATGTACTTTTTGTTCTTGTAGTTGTATATATATATATATGTATATTCGCAATAAAGTTAGATAGTATATAAGTCACTTTTAACCAGTTCGTTTTGTTTTGCTGGTGATTTTCTAATTTTCTTAGTCTTCACTATTTCTTTTTTCCGGCGTTTTGTTCTTATCTGCTCAAGAGTTCGACTCCGAATGAACAGCAGACGGTGGTGTGATTGTATTTTATAGAAAATCCAACAATTGTGACGAACTCTGTCACGGTAGGCTGGTGAGAGCCGCCATAGGTTGAAATTGAGAGAGCGAATTCGAAATGGCAAATTACAAACACGCTATGTATACATATGTACTATTGCAGTATATATCTTGCGGATGTACATAGTATCCGTATGTATGCGCATTGCTGAAAAATGCAGTTTTCTTATTTTCTCTGTTGTTGATTTTCCGATGTAGCGCTGTGTGTCCGTAAAATCGCTTGCCATTAGAGCGAATCTCTATGAGTTGGTGGTGGTTTGCCTAAGACTTAGGCCCTAAGTACTTTGTAAAGACGAATCTCGGAGAAACTTCTCTCACCGTTCTCTCCGAATTCGTTACACTGAGAAAAATAGAAAGATATTAAATATAACTGTTTTCAAAATTATGAGAAAATAGTGATTGTTTTGAAATGTATAAACCGACTTCAATACTTCTTGTGGGGGACCACTTTGTGGGATTTTACCGTTAGAACTCGACTTTCCAAAGCAATCGGTACATTTTGACACTGTTTTCTAATCGCAAGAGTTTTCATTACTGAGTTACTGTTAACCAAGCTCCACTGTTACAATCAAAGTGTAGGACGATTAGGTCAAAACGCTTGTTATGGACTAATAATATGTATGCCATTAAAAGTTTATTGAGTGATCTGCACATCTGTGTATTCTATCTATTCTATTGTTCCAAGAGTGCCACTTGCCTGGCTGTGTCGTGCAAAATATAAGTTGCAAGCTTTGGATTAATTACCACTTAGTACATGAAGTGTCCGGCACAGGCCTGATATCGGTCGGTGACCATCACAAGTTGGTGCGACTACAGTTGTGTTAAACCGTCAATCACAGCCACCAAGTCCAACTGTTGCGCACAATACAATAACATACATAAGTACAAGTGAGTGCTGCTCCAACAAATTTATTGTTGTATGTTATAGTAGGCCCACGACAAGGGGTTTATGGTTTATGTAAGCATAGCAAATGTTTTACTTAGCAACTCATTAAACACAGACACACACAGCAGTATTGAGTAGGTACATTTATGGTAATATATGCGATATGATATAGAGCACCGAGTCGTTGTGCAGCCGATAAGAGATTGATTACGAAACCTCTTCAGGCTGTCACCGCTCAAGTGGTGAAAACAAAATACTTGCAGATATTTTAAAACAATCAACAACGATATTTTTAAAAAATGTTTTTTTGTTTTTGTTGCTATTTCAAAGAACGTTTGCGACTATTCTAGTCGAACTATTTTAGCCGCGATAATTGGCCCTTAGCAGCTATAGTTCAACTACATACGTACTACAGACTGTCAGAAATGATCAACAAATGCAGATCGCATTGGCATTGATTCAATATTTCTGTAGCTAGTTGCAACGCTGCTGGTCCTTCATGCAAAGTGCTGTAGTAGCTTGAGAATTGTACTGCAAACATACATACGTATGGTATATGTATGTGCATATGTATCTACAGACATAAATTGAAATTTGAGATTGAAGCAGCCATCCAGTTCAGCTTTTTGCATGGAAACTCACGTTTGTGGAAAGTTTTTTACTTACTCGTTGGCGCTTGTAAATAACGGCGTAGTTATTCGCACAAATTTGGGGTTTCGGCACGATAACTTTGCTTGAATTAGCCAGCAATCGTACTGAGCAGCAAATACCTGTTCTTTGAAAGATTTTCAAAGTGAATTCTAAGTAAAACCCAAACGCTTCTTTAGTTGTATTTGTGATTTAATGTTTTTTCTGAGTTATACTTAAATGTATATAAGTTTTATATAATAATGAAGTGCATGAAGTCAATTACTTGCATATTATAAGTTCAAAATTTTAAAGCTTTTGCTTTACTTAATTCTTTGTTGGATTTTAACTAGAAATAAAAAATAGGAAATACCGATTAACAACTTGTAATTGCTGCTTTAATTTTTTATTTTTTATATTTCTTTTAGTTCTCGGATCGATACTTTATTGCTCGCATCTAGGTTTTCTCATTTGATTTATTAATGATCCATTTATAATTTAATTTAATTTTTAAATAACCTTAATTGGTAATTAAATGCATTTCCAACAACTTAACTAATATGTGTGTATGTATGTATGTATGTACTCGTATGTATATTTTGTCTGTTGTAATTCGAATAACATTTTAATTATTATTGTAATAATTTTAATGGGATTTTAAGGACTCCATGCGCATGCACACATCTTCCGTTTGACGATAGTGTATGGTAATTCGGGTAGGTTTCGTGGTTCGCAAGAATAATTTATCAAAATTATCTGACTTATTAAAAAACGTTTTTATATTTATGAACGAATCGAATCGTTGACTAGATTGAAAAAAATATTTAAGGGAACATGTATGGAAATACGTTGCTAATTTTACGATTTTAAGAAGACTCTCGAACTGTATATATAGTATGTGATCGGAAGCGGATTCAGAGTGCAATATTGGGAACTCAGAGTCCGTCTCTTCGCGGAGTTTCACTTATGATGGCAATAATGTACATATAACTTTTAACTTTTTGGAACCATGTATCCGCTCCTGCATATTATGAACAGAAATCAGTTAGAAAAAGTTGTTTCGAAATGGAAATATTGACGACAATGGTGAATAGTGGTAGCATAGTTAGCCAGTTAGCCAAAATATAGCGCTAGAAAGCTGAAAATTTCTCGAAGTTTAAGTAAGTGATTATCAGTCACAGTAAATACCAAAAGCTTTATTTAGTGGCCTCAAACGAAGCTTGGGTTACTTGAACGGGAAAGAACTGGTTTATAACACTAGTGCACATTTTTTACTTGTTTGCGCTTAGTGATTTAACGAGAAGCCGGTCAGTGTAGGCTTTTTCACTTTAATTTGCGGGAGGATTTATGGGCGTCTAGTACTCCTTCGGTTGCTTGTACGCTAACGTTACGGGGGTTCAGGTTTTATATGTTGTTACAAAAATACACGCATAAACATCTAGAACTTTGAATAGGATCTCTTTTGCTTACACTCTATTGCAACAACAACAACAACGCTTACTTATTGATATTTTTCAAATAACTTTATCGGGTTCCGCACAATTCCTATTCCTAAAGGAGCCAGTAATATCATAAGAAGTTTTCAAATCTTAGTTTAAAATTCCATTTGCTACTAATCTAATTGCTAATACTTTGGTACTTTGATATTCTGCTATCTAATCCATCGAAGTTACTTGTGAAACTGGATGCGAACACCTTGGGAAACGGTTCATTAGCATTGTGTTTGTTTCAAATTTTCGAAAGCATTCAGCAAGGTGTAATACCAAGCACTTGAATATTTCATTCAAAATATTTCTCTGTCTGTTTGGTTTTAGTGTCTGTACACCAAAATTCTTTAAAATTCTCAATTAACTAAGCTTAATCCATGTACTTATCGGCAAGTAATTGGTACAATATGTATGTATGTATGTATGTATGAATGTAATTTGAATATGTATTAATGTATGTATATACTTGTAGTTGTAATAGTTATAAATATGTATGCAAGCACTAGCTGATTTCATATTTGTAAAGTGATTAATAACTTCTGATATTAGAGCATAAACAATGTTCATCTTATAAGTCTCTTTGTTCACAAGAAAAAGTATTCGATTTTCTATGTCACGCAAGGAACCCTGCAGAGTTAACAGCAGGAGCACGAAAATAATAAAATGAAGCGTGAAATTAAAAATTCCAAATATTGCCTGCTGTCCTTTCAATGTGCCTTGGTCCGATAACGATAGATGGCATTTTGAAATGATTAATAGCTTAAGTTAATATAAACAATTAGTCCTCAAGTAGATGTGTTTTTATACAAAAAGCATTAACATATTCTAAGCATCTGGTCGCCCCAACAAAACCTCACAAATTTAACTATTTAAATGTAGATATATATTATAATATTTTACTAGCTGATTTTAAAGGAAAACTACGAGTTAAAACCGCGCTAACAAAACAGAAAGGCATTCGAGTGTTATCTAAGTAAGCTAAAAATTCCTCATAAGAAATTTAACTTAAGGACCTAATACGCGTGAGAGGTGAATCCAGCAACACGTTGTTGAATCGTCAACGGCCTCACTTGCGATTGTCTGGAAACTTTCGATTTCGGGGACTGTGCGAAACATCACGCCGCGGAAACTCGTCCAACTGAAAATAAAAGGCATGATCAAGCTCGGATTCGTGAAAATAATTTTGATCTGTACATACCTTAGAGGAACTCCCTTTTGAGCGACTTGAACTTGCCCGTCGTATTGGCACGTCCATCTCGTCATCCGTGTAGCAACTATACTCACGCGACGAGTCGCTAAAAAGAACAATGAGTTAATGGTATATAAATTCATTTCGAGAAGTTACCTTGGTTCAATTCCATCTTGAGTGTCGGGATCCAGTAATGGCAACATGTCTTCTCCTTGTTGTAGCAGATCAACACTGGTTATGGATTTGCTGCTTGTGACACCCTCCACCTCATCTTCTGCAGCTGCTGCGCTCGCGTTGTCGTCTGTTCCAGCGCCTGTGCCACCTTCACGTTTGGCTTCATGACACTCACATTGACAATCCTCCGGCTTTACATAGTTGTAATGAATTTTGCCATCCATTGTGACATCAGGTTGTGCTTGTTGATGATCATGTCCATGTCCATGACCATGTGTATGCGTTTGGGGCTGCGATATATGTTGAACACTCGATGTGGTGGCATGAACTCGGCTGCTGCTATTGCTAGTTACTACACCATCTTTGGGTAAAGCCGTGATTCGTTTTGGTGGCTTGCGCTTTTCTGGTATATTTTCGAAATCTATCCAATGTCCGGAGAGTTTTCGTTGTGTTGTTGTATTGCCCGACGTTGGTGTGATTTGTGTTTGCGTAGTCTGCACGGTAGTTGTTGTCGCTTTGCTTACAGCAACTTTGGTTTTGATTTCCAATTCGGGTTGTGTCTGCTGCTGTAGCAATTGTTTATTGGAATCCTTACGTTCCAAATTAGACGAAGTAGCACGAAGACCTTCCTCGGCAAACTCAAACCAGGACTTGCCGCTGGTATTAGAAGGTCGTCGAGGGGACTTTGCGCTTTGTACTCGTTCTTTTGTAGAGTCTTTTCGTGGTAAACTTATTCGGAGTTTTTCACCACGAACTGGAACTGAACCGCTAAGTTCGTATGTTTGTTCCTGAGGTGTAACTATTCCACAATATTCCTCTAAGTGTGAGGGATTCAGCGGTGTAGTTGAGCGTGGTCGCTCCACGGGACATGTTTTCAATTCCATATTGGCTCGATCTTTCATGGAAACAAGTGGCACACCATGTGCACGTTCCTCTGGTAACGTGGTTGGCACATAAGGAAGCTCGTCAAAAGACTCTTGCGACACGAGTCCTGTGCTTTCGTGATCTTCAATTGTGCCAACATGACGAGGCAAATGCCGGCGCTTAAGATCGGCTGCAGCTGACGAGCCGCCAGCTAGGTCCGAGTCTCGTTCGCTTTCAGATGATTCGACTGGTTCATCGGTTGAAGGCATTGATTGTCTTTCTGTTACGACGTGAGAGCCTTGTGAGCGACGTGTGGGTGTAGAGGTTCGAGGTGGTTTAACGGGTGTTTGTTTTCCGGAGCGATCTACTGGTGACTGTGATTGTGAGCGCGGTACACGTTGTGTGGGCATTGGCGAACAACTTCCAGACACAGATGGAGCAGTTGGGGGAGGTGATGGTGAAGGAGCTGTAGATGGTGGTGGTGGTTGAGGCAGTGTCGGTTTCCGTTGCTGATATTGTTTTGATAACTTTTGGTCATCGCGCTGTTCTGCAACGTGAACAATCGCATCTTCCGTGCTGTCACCATGTTTTGGTTCCGAAACACTTTGCCTTTTAGGTTTCCGTGGCACATTCTCATGATACTTTTTTCGCACATCGAAATTTTCCAAGTAACGTGAATGTCGTTGATTCACAATACCACCACCAGCATCTGCATCGTCTTCGGAAGTAGAACGTGATTTTCTGCGTGGTTCCTCATGTGATTCCTTACGACGCATAACCACGGCAGTCACTGTTGTTTGCACAATATGCTTTTCGTCTTCTGACGTGGAAATCGATTTCTGCCGCCGAGCTGAAACCTCTGTAGAGCTGCGACGCTTCGGTGGCAATTTTGTCGGCTCTTTAGAATCCTGTATCTTTGTTGTAGCATTTAATTCCACTTCTTCCTCTGAGCGACGAATTACTGTGCCTTGCCTGTGTAAAGTTTCTGAGCCAGGGCTTTCTGTTATTGTCTCTTGAACCTGCTCTGAAAGTTGGCTGGATTGACTTTCGGTTTTAGAAATACTAAATTGTGTAGAAAATATTGGATCCTGACTTCCTGAACCTAAACGTGTGGTGAAAAGTAATCGACGCTTTTCTTTTGTATGTTCATTTTCAGGCTGAACTTGTGTAATGTTTAGATTGACTGTAGCTACAGTCTCAACGATCTTTGTCTCACCGCCACTATCCACAGCGGGTAAACGATGAATTTCGGCTTCTGCTGCCATGCCATTTTCTTGCACAACATTTTCTTTAACGTTGGCCAAATTTGAACGAATATTGACTTTTATAGCACTTGCATAGCTGGTTTCAGAACCAGCTGTCTCCTGTGAGTCCTGTGAGCTATACTTGTTCACTTCTAGGCTCCATGTACGTTCTTTATTGTCATCTTCCTGTGAAAGAGTGTATATTGCATCAAGATTTTCAAGGCGTTGTAGTTTTTCCACCTGTTGTGACCGTGGTTGCGATTGGCCACTACCTGAAGATCCACTTCCCGAACCTTTACGAGGGCCCACTGGTTTCAAAGCAGCAGCGGCCGCAGCAAGCTGGCTAGCAGTTATTGCAGTTGGAACCGGACGCATCGGCTCGACATTGAGCTGTTGTATACCGTGCAATAACTTGCGTGCCTCTTTTTCCTCTGGTGGGGTATGAAGAGGTATGTGTATTACGCCTTCCACAGGTTCATCGTAATAACGTAACCTACTGGCAGGGCGAGATCCACCTCCAGTGGTAGTCGATGATGGAGTATGTGACTTACTGCGCATTTGTTGCATCTGTTGCTGAAGCTCATGCCCATCGATAGGTGACGAGCTCTTCGAAGATTTAGCATCGGCGCCTGCATTACTTCCACGTTTTCCTGGTTTAAAAATCGCTAAAACGGATTTCTGTTTACTTGGTGTAACGTTTTGTGACTGCGGCGTCGGGCGTTCTTTACTTTTACTGCGGGATCGTGAACGTTCACGGGGTGAATCAGGTGAGTCTTTACCGCCTAGTCGAAACAGCGAACTAAATGAACTCTTTCTCGAAACTGAAACAGTGGCTGGTGAAGGTGAACGACTACCATGTGTATCCTTAGTCAAAGCGCCATGTCTCGTGGGTTTAGGACTAGCCGTGGGTGTAAGCCGATTTTCATCCACAGCGGTCCGACCTAAACTTAATGAAGCAGGTTTCTTTTGACTCCGCGAATAAAGGGGAGCAATGCTGTTAGGAGCCTCCACAATTTTCTCATGGGGGGCAATACCTTTGTCGTTATACATATAGTCAGGCTTCAGGTTAATGCGTATATACTCGGTGCCGCTGGGTGTTTTTCCAATTACCATTTGTCCAGGGCTTTTACTACTTTTTCGCTGAGTCCCCATAACTGGCTTTGCCACACCACCAGCTGCAATAGCTACAGCATTGGGTCGCTCAGCTTTCTTAGTACTTTTCATTGGCGGTTTAGCTTCACCGTTTGATAGCAATGTCGCCTTCTTCTTCGGAGAACTCTCCACTGTAATACCTTCTGCCAAAACTGCCTGTGTTGGATCGTGCTTGCGTGACAGCAAAACTTGCTCAAGTAATTCAACAGTCGGTGGCTCAATTGTGGTTGAAACTCGACCGTCCACTACGTTTTCCAAAGGCTTTGGACCACAAAATGATGTTTCCAAAAGCATGCGATGAGGTGAAGGTGAACGTGAAACGCCCGATACCGCTGAGAGTCGACTCACAGCTGAACCCTGACTGCCAACACTAGATATGCGACTTGTGCGTCCGGAAATACAAAGCAATGCAGCGACCTCGGAACTGGCCGAGTCTTTACGCTGGTGTTGTTGCAAATAGCTTTGATGATCGTCGAATTTGAAGATGTGCGGGGAGGAGCGTTTTACTTGCTAAAATAAAACCAAAAACAATGTAAGTGTAAAAAGTTAAGCGGATAACGAGTAGTGAAAGAACAAAACAAAAATAAATGTGTACGAGTATGTCCAAAACCGGTTGCGACCACTTACAATTGAATTATAATTACCAAGCCAAGTGATCTTACTGACAGACAAGCAATACAATAAGTTGTCAAGAACCGCTGCAGAAATTCTGAGACTCACTGCCACGGAATAGCAGACAACGTCGTAAATGATACCCAGTCTATGTTGGCGGTTTATGAATTTACAAAACTCTGGCAGACAGTTCGGAAAGACTCAAGCGAGATAAGTAAATGAAATAAATAAAGAACAGAGAAACATTGTTGACTTATTCGATTAAGGACAAACAGTAAACTGAGGTGAGAACTACAACAAACAAAAAAATGGCAGAAACAAGAGTAGAACATGAAGGCGAAATTAAGTTATAAAAGTCTTAATGAAGCTGGCACAAGCTATTGTGCAAATGTTGAGGGCACTATGAGGGAGTTGGGGACCAGTTGAAGCCCTGATTATGCTATAAAAGCGCACTGCCTTGATATAAAAAATGGAGTTCTTAAAAATTATGACTTACAGTTATGGACAACTTCCAACAAGACCACGTATAACGTATGCTTACTTATGTGCCTATAATCAATTTTCTGGTTATAGGATCATATAAAATAAGGTTCTCTTATCGTTTCTTCAGTTGGGTAAGAGCCAACAACGCAAACAGTAACAGTGGCACAATAAAAATTCACAAAATGAATGATGTCGTGCGATGGCAAACCCAACTATGCCATTTACATGTATATAATAGTGTGTGCGTTTCCTACAATATCCATGATTTTTTGTTGCATGGGAATTTCGAAACTGTTATAGTTTTCAATTGAGCAGCTCGCTAAACAGAAATTGCACACTAAAGTAGACCAACTGATTCTAGTGCGTGTCATCAGCATTGCAATATCTGAATGATTTTAACGTTAACATTGGCGCTGCAACATTTTCTGTTTCCTCCTCATACACATATGTAAATAACTGTATATATATATGTGAATGGCATGCTCCACTTATGCTACCACATACAATTGCGAGTATTATATTGCGACAAGCTTAGAAATCGATCTGCTCTCCCCAAATTTATATAAATACTTTTCCTTTTCGCCCAAACCAGCGCCGTTCTAAAATGAAGCGACTGTAGCATTGGAGCAACTTTTTGTTTATCTTAGCGGCGCCCGGGTAACAGTTTTTTTTGAGCTCATTTGCTCGCTTTCATTTAAAGTAAAGAGTAAGTAACAATTTAATAATTTGAAATTACCTGTTGTTGTTGTATCTTCTCCTGCTCCTCCTTCTTCTGCTCCGGATCCATAAAGTACAATTCCTCGGTTGAGCTTCGCAGCTCCAGGGCGCCCTCTTCGCGAAAGCCCAGTCCGATTGTTTCCTGTAGGGTGCCAGTGCCAACCTTCATTTGATTATCATTTTTATAGCAAAAAATTTCCAACAAAAAAATCAAAACGCGACAACAATTTTGAAAACAAAAAACAAAGTCAAAAGCGCGAATATATAACGGTGATTTTTGTGGAATTTAATGTCGTTATACACAAAGCGGAGTGAACCCAAAAGTGTGCAACAAAAAGGGAGTGTAGGTGAGCGGGTGACGGAGCGTGTACCAATTTGCACATAAAACAAGGCGAATGAATGGCGTGTATATGTATATTTAATAAAAGGGATGAATAGAAACATGTAAAGGAAGAAGAAGAAAAGAGAAAAGCAAAGAAAAATTTACTTTCCAAGTGTCAGTGTCGAAAGTGATTTACACATACACACAGACAATCTTATGCATATGTATTAAGAGCGCGTGGATTTATAATTATGTACGTGTGTGTGTGTGTGTCAAGCGTTTTGTTCACACTTTTACAAGATTGAGCGCTCGGAGCATAGATGTGTTCAAATTGGTGACATATGTAAATGCTCACGTGCACGTATGTATGGGGCATTAGTGTGTGTGTGTACATTAAATGCCTTACAACAATAACAATAATAATAATCTACGGATACTAATCCCATGCGTCGTTATAAAATTATCAGCCGCGTTCTGATAAATGTGTGACTGTGGAGCTCGGCTGGGCAGCGGTGCGGCAAAGGAATGCGGGTGCGCAATTAGTAGGCATTCAAGTGTCAGATGAGTTGTAGGCGAAAGGGTTGTGGCGTTGAAATCCGAGAAACGTGCCAACTTTTTATGACGTCGTAAGCAAATTAAGTTAATTTAATTAAATTAATTAAGCCAAATTTGCTTAAAGATGCCAATTACTCTTTCGAAATGAGTCGAGGCGTGAGAACACGCTGAAAAACTGATGTCTTATTTATGCTTGGCGTCTGCCATAAAAAAAATGCTAAAATTTCTTTCAATAAATGCAGAACTTATCTTCGACTTCTTGAGTGCTTTATGGCGGTGCTCCCATTTACTCCCATTTACGCTTTAGTGAAGATCAGAACTTTTCAAAACTATTGAGTGCTGCTGCGGTAACTGCAAGTTGAGTGGGTCATGCACTTTATACTTTATACTGATTTTCCTTCGCCCACACAAGAGCAACTGTGCGAGTTTTTGCGAGTGAAGGCAAGGTAGATGTTTTGCGAAAAGTAAATTTTCCGTCGCTTGCTTTCATTTGGCTCTTGTGCACCACATGTAATACGTATATGTGTATTTGTGCGCAATTAATTTTAAGCGCTGCTGTAAAACTTCAGCAACAGGCAAGTCGTCCACCCCATTCAGGTTGCATTCACTCAGCCATGCTATTCGAGATTGGTGCATGTGTTGATGTGCCGCCAGGACGGTTGGGTGCTTTTAACGTCAGCTCGGTGAGGTCTATCACATTTAGGGCACACAGCAAAACAATCGTCCGAAAACAATTGCTGACAGTACAAGGAAAGAAGTGCAGGCGACTACACAACAAGCGCAGTGGCTGGGATATCACAATTGCAACTTGTACTTACAACCAACAAGCAATGGTAGAAATAATACAAGCTAACTGTTAATAATAATAGCTTTTCATCCTGTTTTTCCACATAGCGGAAATTCGGTTTGTTTTAAGTTGTTACTTTCTTGCCTTTGCCTTTGTTTGCACTGCTGCTTGACATTAGTTTGAGAACCGTTGAATGAGTTTACACATTTCTAAAGTGGGTCACAGTCAACAGTTTCTTGACATATTCCAAAGACAGCCAGAAAACAATCGCCTATACAAAAATTTGTGACAGAAATTATCATAAATATAACTTTCGCTAAAGTTTTAGGGAAAGACATCTCTCGACGAATAAAAACAAAACACTATAAGTCACTCATTATTCCCGTCCTGCTATATGGTGCAGAGACTTGAACGATGACAACATCTGATGAGTCGACGTTACGAGTTTTCGAGAGGAAAGCTCTGCGAAAGATTTATGGTCCTTTGCGCATTGGCCACGGCGAATGCCGCATTCAATGGAGCGATGAGCTGTATGAGATATATGACGATATTGACATAATTCAGCGGATTAAAAGACGGCGGCTAGGCTGGCTAGATAATGTCCGAATGGATGAAAACACTCCAGCTCTGAAAGTATTCGACGCGCTGGGGGAAGCAGAGGAAGAGGAAGACCTCCACTCCGTTGGAAAGACCAGATGGAGACGGATCTGGCTTCACTTGGAATTGCCAAAGAAGAAAGTTTAAGGGAAATAACAGAACACAATCGAGTATTTGTGTATAGGAAGGTTAATTGTTTTGGGTTCAGTATGATAGAGTTTAGGTCACCCGTCACTCTACACACTATGCTTTGTTTCTTTTGGTCTACTTCCTGCTATGTTCTGATTGTAGTTGGTCTACTTCCTAACTGAACTCATTAACCCACAAAACGAAATGAGCAGTAGGAAAGGTGCAAGAAAGTGAAACCCATACACCAACCGTGCACACTGCGCTAGCTACTAAAAAGGACGCGAGCGGGTGAAGCAGCTCAAAAACGTGCAGAAAAGCATGTGCGAGGGGAAAGATGCAGATGCAGAGCTTTAATGTTGGAAGTTGTGTTCTTGTTAACGATTGAAGGCAGCAACGGGAAGTAAATTCAATAACGGCAGTTAGACATTAATGTGTGCTCTTTTGTGCGACGCGACAAGATGTGGATGTGTGTGAGTAGAAATGTGTGATAATTATGGCAAGAACGAGGGAAAATTTCAAGCAAAAACTGCAAACATTCGCTCACCCACACATCCACCCATCCTACTAGAGATATCAGTTGTAGAGCAAAGCCAAACTGGTGTTACTTTGAACACCAACGGCTAGCTTACACACTAGCTCGCACTCACTCACAGCGACATCAAGATTCATGCACATTTAATATACATACATATTTACAAATCGCATTTCTCGCATTATCATCACCTGTTCGAACACATTCTCCGGACTGCTTTCCCGGCTGTCCTCTTCGTGATGCGATGACGACGATGCACGACTTAGTTCGATGCGGGGTGTGGATGGTGCGGCAAGCGTAGTGGCTCCTTTGTATGCGCCTTCAACTCCAGCCGCCAGCTGCTGATGCTGCGTTTGAGGCGGGCCAACAGTGTCGCCGCCACCTGCTGTAGTGCTGGCGCAGGTGGTCGCCTTTAAAGCAGGTGGTCGCCTTGTATTGTTGACTTCTTGTTTAGTTCTATTGCTTGGGCTGACTGCAGCGGCGGCAGCAATGGCGTCTGTTGCAACAACAGCACTTCCCGACAACGATACGCCAATACTAGGTTGTTCTGCTTGGGCATTTCTTGCTTTTTCTATTGCGGTTGCTGTGTCCGCAGATGTTTTATTAACGTGCTCGCGTGGCTCCATCTGTGCAGAAGAAAAATATGAGTTACAAAAAAAACAACAACAACGTTGTGTATTTTAAAGAGCCGTTAATTTGAGATCAACTTATGTCGAAGTGCATACTTAATGACTATTTATAAACTTCAATTCGACACAGCTGGGCTAGAGTCTCAATTTATAAAGTAAACGACAGTGACTTGCCGCAGGGGAACTCATATCGATATATGCAATTAACTTTTTTTTTTTTWTTTTATTAAAGCTTACATRATAAACAAATTATTAAATAAACTAAAGTACGCAGCGCTAGCATCAAAGGCTTTCGGCTGAAGCAATTAACTTACTTCTCTAATATTTAAGAAAACTAACTTTTGCTAGAGTTTTATTTGTAAGGCCAAGACAAGAAGGGCCTTTCAGCGCTACGCTACGGTAAATAGAATTAACATTTCATTGAACACTTATATATAAATGTATATATGCATATATATGTGTGTTCATCAGCTTCTTCACAAAAAGTTTGCCAATGCACTTTCATTTCCTATACACTTGTGAGTGGCGCTTCCGGTGTTGTCATTGCTTTATAGATTTCATCCTTGAGCATGACAGCAAACGGCGTATTTAATAGCACGACATAATTTTATTTATAGCACAACGTTCCCGCATATCTGTACACATTTTTTGTAATTAAATTGATTTCCTTCATTTTCGATTGTCGAAGCTTTCATCGCATCTGAAACTTGCCACTTTCAAAACTTTTCAATTTAATTAACTGTCAAAGGAAAATGTACAGATAACGTCACTGCAAACCACAACCGCCGCTGGCTGAGCAAAATTCACTGGTTACATATTCAAAAGAAATTTGTGTTCTACTCTTGTCACTCCACATTCCGAAGAACACACGCATTAAAGAAATTTTCAGCATCTTTAGCAAGTTCACCTTTCACTGCATTTGGTTTCATCGATAATTTGTGGTTTTCACAACTCTTTAAACTTATACTCGGCTAAGCCAGTTTAGGCACATAAGTTTGACTAAAAAGTGACTCGTCTTGTCTCGGGAGCTCTCACCCCGACACCCTCATCACTTATTGTCTTTTTGCCTACGGTTTCGAGTAGCTTTACAGTTCACTAGACGAAGTGAAAGGAATCAAATATTGAAGTGCAATATAAGACTTCTTCAGTTATCTTCGCGTTTTTATTCCTTTTCAAATGTGTTGAACTTCACAAAACACTAATATCTTGCTTTGCCTTTGTCTCATGCGTTTTGATGTTCGTGTGAGTGAACGGGCTCATGCTTTGTTGTTGCTATGTGAGAAATTTCAGTTCCCATGCACGTCCTTTAGCACTTGAGCTCATCCAGAATCCTTGGATTAGACACTTCACAGAGCGCCGAGTTTTGTACTGCTTAGGCGCCCAAATTTATACTCTTGAATTTTACACAAAACTATTTTTTGTTTGGAAGAAACAATAATGCAGACTGCCGTTGAAGGATTGCACGCGCACGAAAAATATAGATCTCAAGTTGTTTTTCAGTTTCGAGGTACACACACATTTTCGGTCAGCACGAGCAAATTTTTGGACACCAGCTCTCCATAACCCCTGCACAGGAAAAACCAATTCACGCACATAGCAGGCTTGAGGCTTTTACATGCAAACCTTTTCAATTGCACATGTATTTGTTGTCAATTTAAGTGCTTCCATTTAATTTGTATTGGATTTTTGATTAGTTAAAGTAGCTGCTAAAGCGCCTAGAAGTAGGCAAAGGGTGCAAATATGCTGATACACATACCGCTTTTACAGTAGATATGCGTGGCGGTGACGAAGGAGGTGGCAATGAAGTTCACCACTTCCAGACGAGCCCAGCGACTGCGATTCCTGTAGCTGCTTCACGCACGCACCGAACACCAACTGACAGCCAGCAGCTTGTCAGCGGCGACGACAGCTTGTCTAGCAACTGGGCAAGTGAGCTTTGCTGGGAAGTCCGCGTGCTTTTCGAATACACACCTGCTAGCGACCAGTCGCTTTAGAGCTTGCACATAACCGCGCATAAAGCGTGACATTGTCGATGGATGTGTGCGCGGCCACACAGCTGTTAGTTGCAACGTTTCGACAGCTTTTCTGTTGAATTCACAAGCTTTTGTTCAGCACATTGTCAGCTATGGCAGCGTTTTGCACGATTGCTGAAGAGAGATAAAAATATTGTGGCAATGCCGAAGAGAGTAAGCTAAACCTTTTGTTTACATTCGCATGTGACAAGCAGCCCTTCTGCGCATTGTTTTCGTTGGGTTTGCGGTGGCCTTCTCTTTTTGACAACTGCGGACACGTGACTTTGAATTCGAGTTACAAAAAGCATTAGGTGGCGCGTGTGAGTATGCAACGAATCGCCGCTGGCTTGTTTACACGCAAAATAAAATTTAACTTTAATTAAAGCAATAATTCGCGCCAGACTTCTCAGACGCACTGGCGTCTAAGCACTGTGATGGTTTTCTTTTTTCACAAGAAAACTTCAGAAATTCAAATTCTACGTAGCAACCAAGTTGTTGTACAGTGGATTATATACATACAAGCATAAGTAAAATTAACCTTTCAAAAGTATGTGATCTATTTTGGTTGTGGCATGCGACAAACGACTTACCAACATCTCGCCATTGCTATGAATGTCCTTGGCAAGCACTTCATGTTCCTGCGACGCGTTGAACTTCGTTGAACCCGAGAAAGCCGCTGCTGGTATAACCGTAGCTGCTGTGACTGAGCTGCTGCTTATCATAGCGCTTGTTGTGCTGGTGTGGGCCGTGTTGCCCGCTGCTGCCGTGTCCTCAAACGACTTCTCGAACGATGCAATTGGCGCGGCGCCAAGCCGCTTCTGTTTTCGCGCATCCATTTCGGACGCTCTGACTCCTTGGCAGTTATGACTTCTATTTCGCTGCTTTTATTGTAGATTTGTATGTGATATGGTTTGTAGCACTAGAATGTTGTACGCACAAGTGCTGCGTTTTTTATTGAACGGTTTTATGAGCATCTGGCTGTGTGTGTCGAATATGTAACATTTAGGTCATCATAGTCACTAAATATCTATTACATGACTCATGTTTAACACGGACGCAGAAAGTTTACCCTAACTTAATATTTAGTTTACATTTTTTTTCTCCACTTCGGTAGTGATTTCAAATAATTTAATCTCGCCTTTTCCAAATGCATCCACGTCGCTGCCTTCAACACAACGGCATTTAGTTTTTTCTCAATCACGTCTGCACTGAGGCGCTGTGTTGCTTCAGGCGCACTGAACTGCACGGTAACCAACCGTATGCCCTTGAGGGCAATAAACTCGAGGTTATTACCAAAGTGTAGGCAACAATGCAACAAGCCAACCAAGCAGTCGTTGTGTCATGCAACGGATGTGCATACAAAGGCTTGGTGGCAAACAATGTCGTCCACATAAATAAATAAATATAATTAAATACGAAACGTTTGTTGCTTGTGAAAATAATAAAAGCAACCAAATGTCGTTTGCTTCTCGATTTGGCTCTTGACTCGACATGTCGGCTACTTGATTTCATAAGAACGCGCTGTAGCCTGACATGTTTGCATACGCAACTGCAAACCCTAATTTCCATTAAGCACTCCTCTGGACGGCTGGACAATCCGTCTAGTATTTTGACGTATTTTTTGGAATAAATTGCTGTTTGTATAAAGAATGTAACAAAAACTGTATAAAATTAAACGCATCGTTGCAATGGAGCGCCTGTGTCTCCTAGCACGGAAGTTACTGACAGCGCCCTTTATAACTTACGCGCGGTGTAATATTCTTTCCTGGTTCCCTCTCTTATAAAATATAGTAGTAGAAAAAAATTTGTTCTTCGCCTTCTCTTATTTACTTTTATTATTTTTTTTTATTTTTAGATTTCGCATAAATGAATTACTACCATATATACTACATTATGTGGGATATTAGGAACCCTCACGAATTTTCGCATTTTGCGCTGTTTCATCATAAATATTGATTAGTCAATGTGACAGTTATTGTATTTAACTATCTGCATCCTTAAAGGCTTCAGTTTTTTGCAGGTAAGTTTTTCTGTACTATAACTGTCTGGCTTAGTTTATTCTCCGGACGAAAAAAAAATATAATTTGCCGTTATAATAGACCAGGTAAATTTAAGCGTTTTGCAGCAGCTTGGGAAAATTTAACCTCTAAATGGAATTGTTTACCTCGTCGAAAACTTTAACTAAGCGCCAATGCCTGTACCTGCCAAACCCATACGTTGCCCAATTTGCCCAGCAGACGGCGCCGATTAGCAACTCGCATACACATAATCGTGTATATATTTACACATATGTATGTATGTACATAGACCAACTGTAGCTTAGTCTAGTAACCATGAACTGTTAGCACTGCAACTGAGTCCGAGCACTGTAGGATATCGAAAGCGGAACCACCAAAGTTAGTATTCATGGTATACCAAATCGAAATTAGCACTGAGCCGAACCAAACTCAACACCCAATGTGTAGCAAAATAGACGATAACTGTGAAAAATGTGTATAAGCAATGGTACTGTGAACCGTAATTATCGTTTTCCGTAGGTGATTTCGTTTGCATGTTGCGTTAACGGCACAACCAGCTCTCATTAGTTAGAGTGCGACGGGGCGTATGAGCAATAAAATTTCTGCCAAATAACGAAGTTTATCACAAATAGCTAAGCATAAATGTTAAGCAACCCCAATCGATGCGAACGACTGCCTCGGCATTGCAACGACACTGTCTAATGACGATTTTGCCACTACAATGTTTATATCTTCTGGGGCTTATTAGTTTTCTTCACTTTTTACTACCCGGCAAACATAAATATTCGCATATTCGAACACCTCTTAATGGCTGTTATCGCGATATTACCATTCATTGTTTAGCGTGCTAATATTGCTGCTTCTGCGCAAGTAAATTGAGTAAAATTAATTGGTTTTTAATTGTTATGCCAGCCGGACATGCGAGATGTTTTGTCACAAAATAACTGCCCAACAAATCAAAATCGATTACCGCTACGTTGGCTGTGCGGCAGGTGTGTGTGTGTGTGACATCAGAAAATAGAAAAGTCATAGACACCGCTGGAAGTTTAAGTTTTTCTTGCTTGACATGTTGTCAGTCACCAATTGACCTAACATTTTCTTTGTGACTTATTTGCTTATTATAAATACATAAAGTACATAATTTAATTGCCGTTTATTGGTTTGAATATGAATTACTTCAGCGCAGTGACAACTAACTGGCTGTCACGCTTTTCTACCGCTGATAATACACATGCCACATCTTTCATATATCTTTCAATGATCGAACGCTTACGATTAGCCCCGACAAAACCTAGCACTGAAGGGCTTGAACGTGAACGAGCACAACTAAGGCGTAGCTTCAGCGCAACTTGAAATTACTTTGTGTGCAGTTAATACTGTTTGCTAGTTCAAGTTGTTAGTATTGTTGGTGTGTTATGCTTGTGGTGCTGTGGTGTTGTGGTGGGAGTCAACAGCAGAGAGCTCTTGAATGTATTAGTTAAACGCTAAATAGCCCCAAAACCCCATTTAAATAGTTGCAGCCATTGTGGTGGGAGTCAACAGCAGAGAGCTCTTGAATGTATTAGTTAAACGCTAAATAGCCCCAAAACCCCATTTAAATAGTTGCAGCCATATACCTATGAACAAGCTTTTGTGTGCGATAACCCTTTAGGGAATTCCCCTCTCATATACAGGCGGTTTTCAGGTTCTCGCGCTTATGGCAAACAAATACAGACGGGCGAGTGTATTTCTACCTTGGAAAGCTCCTCTGCAAACTTGTCCAATCCGTTGTTGTTGTAATTTGAGAATTCTGCCGGGTAAAAGTCCGCGTCCGTTCCGGTTACGTAGACCTGACTGCCGTGGAATGGTCTTGTGAATCCGTATTTCTCGGTTATGCTGAGGAATTACATACAGTTGTATGAACAGCAAAGTACAACATATCCGAATAACAACTCACTGTCCGTCATCAAAGTGTCGATCACCTTTCTGACCAGTTTCTAAAGTCAATTGGTTCAGTTTAGAGCTGCTCGAGTCTATTCAGCTTTAAAATTGTCCTACAAAGCACGTGTTTGTATATCAAATAAATATATGACACAAGCACCGCCGTACAACTGCATATGTATATGTGTACACGCCCACAATGGTGGCTTTAAGTGTACACTGTAGTGCTGCAGAGACAATACATGGAATGACGCGAAGAACGGAGGTGAGCGAAGTGTGTCATGTAGTGTCTGATTTGCAATGCACGAAAACGATAGAGACCAACATGTTTGTAACGATTCGAGTTGTTGTTATGTTCGATTGTATGGTTGCCTGGTGCAACTTATTGTCTATGCGCCTGCTGCTATACTACACAATATACAAAGGCAAAACTGAATTTGCGGGTGTGTATGCGAACACGGACCGGCTTTCTAGCAGTTGTGGGTGTCTACGCACACAAAGCCAGTGGCACGACCTCTTTGGACGACAAGCGTCAACCGCCCCGTCTTGCCAGCTGCCGGCGCATATAGCGGCTTTTATGGTAGGAAAAAGCGCACAGAAATAGAAGAAAACATGCGAAACATGGGTGGAGGCAGTGGAGGCAATGTTTGCTGAAACCGCTTACTTGTAAATATCCATTACGATAGCAAAACCCAAATACAACATCAATGAGGGGCTCGAAGCGCAAGCCATTGCTTGTTGGAGTGTGTTTTGTGTGTGTGCGCGCGCTGGGGGTGGTTCTGCTTTGGTACGCTCCCGTCGAAATATTAATGGACATTACGAAATTATTTTTCCTGCTTTTCACCTACAACGACATGCTTTTTAAATGTGTGATTGAATTTATGCTTGCTGAGCGGTATGTAGGCGCGTTCTTAATACATTTTAAGTAAGTAAATGTGTGTGTCTGTGCGCAATAGTAAAAAGTTCATACATATTTACGATGTAATATGTATGATTATTTACAAGTGGCACTATTGTTTTGTCCCCCTTCTTGCATATTTCTTTTTTCTTATGTATGCGCCTTTCTAGTTGGCATTTAGCAAGCAAACATGTATTTGTTATGCTTTGTTGTAATTATAATGCCTTACACTCATACAATTCTTTGTAATCTTCTTCTACATGCACGCGGGCGGCCGCATACGCTTGTGCTTTTCATTTTTGCTTATATTTTAGGTTAGCATGCCAACCGGCAACTCGTTACGGCGTATCGTCCCGGTGCCATCCCCACCCACAGCACCATTGCATCATCTTGTGTCGGCCGCATAAGTCACCACTGAAATACTGAGAAAGCGTGATGTGAAGGCATTTTAGTTTGGTCTGCCTTTTTGCGATGTCTCGGTGTTTGTTTGTTTTTGTTCTTTTTTTACTTTTATTTTCCTGTGAGCAGACTACATTTGACACTACTATAGTTGGCAGCGCAATGGAAAATACACGCACGGAAATTCGATTGCGCAAATATATACTTTTTGTATATATGTACATATAAGTAGATATGTATGTATATATACTCCTGGAACCGCATACATACTATATGTGCCGGAGAAACGGGGGGAAAAGTGCTGAAGTAAGAAGAATTCTTTGAATTGGTGCGAACCGAACTCAACTCAGCGAAATACAAGGGGGAGTTTTCATTATATAAGACTCCACTAAAAGCATTTTCCTTAACACTTGATGGCTTGAAAAGTAGAGTAATACAGCGTCATACACCGCACTATTGTTTCACTATTAAATCAGCGATATACTAGTCGCACAAATGTCTAAGTTAGCACATGCTTAAAGGCGGAGTACTTTTCATTTAACGATGCAAAAATGTTGCTTATTTTTCACTTTATTAATTTAATTTTAATTTTTTTAAAACTTAATTTGTCCTAAATGTTTCTATGAACGGACACTGACCGCTAACGCTGAACAGCTCGTCTACGCAAAGGTATTCACACTTCCATTGTCAGACTAGAAATACTCAGCGCTGCGCCTCTGTGCGACCAGCTACTTAGTATGTATGCTGTTCGGTTCGCTGTAACATGTTGGATGTTGCATGTTGGCGTCCAGACGACTGGCCCACAGCCAGAGAACAAGTTGTTTAATTTTCAATTTGGGACCGTGATGTGATTTAAAAGTCACGCTATATAAGAAACGCTAGCACCGTTCCTGGCCAGTCCTTAGTTGATTCTCGTGCCGCGATGTCATGTGGTTTAACAGTCCCGAGATGATGTACTTTGACAGTCGAGAGGTGATTTCGCGGGAAGCTGGCTGCCAGTTGGCGCTATTAAAGAAACGCAGGCAGCGTGCCTGGTCAGTGCTGAGGTGATTCTCGCGCCGCGATGTCATGTCTCGAGGTGATGTACTTTGACAGTCGAGAGGTGATTTCGCGGGAAGCTGGCTGCCAGTTGGCGCTATAAAAGAAACGCCGTGAAGCTCTTTCTTCGTGTAGAAAGTGTTGTCCGCACTTAAGCACCGCGATAAAACAATGCAATTTCCGTATTTTAAGGTGGTCTAAAACGCTTGCATTAGAAATTTTATGTGAAAATTACTTATGGACGAGTTCGAACAATTTTAGAGAGTTCCTATCATAATGAAACTCAGTCACCATACAGCCACTCAGTGTACTCTCTTCAAACGGTTGCAATGCAACCGCCGCTTCAGCAGACACAATGTTATCAGTGTCATTGACTGAGCCGGTCGTATGAATGGCGCCCTCGTACAGTGTGCTACATTCACGTTTGCTTTGTTCTGCAAAATTGCCTTGCACAACGCTGGTCAACTGCAATCAATATCCCATCCGCTGTGTCATTAAGCGCGGACGGTAGCATGCTGAACTCTGGCACCTCTCATGCTGGGGCAACCGCCCACAGACGAACTCTTTATAACCACTTTGGATGTTAGATGCTTCAAGTCTTTCGGTTATTAGCTCTTAAGTAATAAATACGTGTGAAGAAGGCCTTGGCATTATTAGCAGTTTTCAGTTGGCGCCAGCTTGTGAGTTTAAATGAGACACGCAGTGTAATGAACCCATCAACCGTCAATGTAGACGCACATTTTAGTTTTCATGAGATGAGGCACATATCTCTTGTTGGACCTTGTGAATATAACTGACCACTTGCTGAGCAGGAGCAAAGTTGCTTTAGGAGCGTTGCAGGTGAGGTTGCCCAATTACATTGGCATCATCTGCATACCTCAGCAGCTCGTCTCAAACTTGTTTACTTCTCCCACCCATTTGGACATATTTCTTTGTTTCTCACTTTGTGCTTCACCGCATTCGAATTTTTCCGCAGTTTTATGCCGACATAGCTCGACTTTTCTTCCTGCTAAACGGGCGTGATTAATGCACTTGGAATGCAAGCCTCCCAAAGCAACTCTTATCAGGCGGACTTGCCTCGTCACAGCTGCACAACTTCGCTTTTGCATTTATTCTTTCCTTTTTTGTTTTTGTAGTCTAACTGCCGTTGCCGCATGCAGGGCTTTAACTTTGGCCTCAGTCCTTGCTTGCTTACCTCTTCAAACAGGAAAACGAAGTGCACAACGCCGTCTGAGGGTGTCCTTCGCATGAACGAGTTGAATGAATTACGCTTCTGACTGATGAACGAGAATGCATGGATTATGTGTTTCCGTGTGTTAAAGAGCATTGCAACAATTGAAATTGTGGGCGCGCTTCGGCAAGTGTAGCCTCCTAGCAGATTGCAGATTGCACATAGCAGCCACTACAAAGAGCTATTGAGTTCGAATGCAATACTGCGATAAATGGCGACTTTTGAGTACGATTTTGTTCATAACACCCAAGCGTTTATAAAAGTAAATCTTTTCACATACAGATAAGTATATGGTATTTATGCAAATTTACAAATCAAACTTAGTCTAATCAATCTCCAGTGTTTTCAAGTTGTGGCTTATGCTGTCCGCCTGCCGGTTCGCTTCGGGAACTACAGCTTTCAGTTTCTTGCTTTTGTCGATTTTCCATGCATCGGGGTTCATTAAATAATTCCTAACAAGTACTCGAATTTAGTAGTCCTACAAAAATCAAAATTATCTTTGTCAAAATAGTACCTCTTCTCTATGAGTAGTCCCGTCCATTTCGCTTTCAAATCGGCCAAAGAGCCGGCCTTACCGCCATACTCCTCCGGCAGCATATCACGAGGAAAATGTTTGTAGGGCGTATCGGCCTTGGGTAGATGAAAGTGAATCTGTTTTTAGCAGAAAAATATCTCAATTGTCAATACGGCTAACCGTTGCGAGGGCGGTTTACGCTCACTTACCAGATTAAACACCTCACTCTTAATGAAGGGCTTCACCACCGTCAACACTTTATCCAGATAAGATGGACAATTCAATACGTGTATGGCCTTCAAACGCACTGGGTGTGCCTCTTGTACGAATTTCATATAAACACGCAGCGAGCTGAACACTGTGCGCGCAACATGCCGCAAACTGTAGCCGGCCATGTCGAAAATGGGCACCTCGCCATCACACATGCCCGCCTCGTCGGGCAGTACGAATCGCAGGTCGGCCATCATAAAGAACACCTTAATGCTGGCCGTAAAGTTAAACTGAAGATCAAACATTTATTTAACGTTAAAATACAACAACAAAATTAAATAGTGCACCTTATCTGCATCAAAATCGGTAAGACGATACAAAAGCAGCTTGTTTTTGTCCGGTGTCAGTCCAGGCAGAGGCAACAAGTCGCTGAAATAGTTATATTTAAACACACAAAAAGAAACAGTTTAAAAGCCAAACCGGTAACGGTCAAACAAGAATATGCAATATTACGGAAACCGCAGAAACGGTAAATATAGTGGTAATCATATGTTTGCAACAACTGGTTTAGTAGACAAATCGCCAATACAGCGCCTTCGCCGTTACTTACGCGACTTGCAACAGCTGCTGCGACTCTTGATCCGTGGGATCGCGTTGCAGAAATATGTGCGCATACTTGTTGCGCAGCGCATAATTGAGCTCAAGCAAGCGTTGGGCGCCCGCCACATCGCCGAACATCGAATAGAGGAAGCGCTCGAGCACCGGCTTCTCTGCAAAAGACATAGAAACAAACGAAAGCTCAGTCGAAGGCGCGAACGAAGCCTTCTAAAACAACATTGTATACACATATGTTTATATATTATATATGTGCATTTATGTACATTTGAGCGTATGTATTGTTCACGCAAAAAACGGCGCGGTTTTAGCAAAAAAAATTGCACCTAAAATTGCACTGTTTTTCACATGTTTGACGCAATTTTCACGTAAACATGTAATTACAGGTGCATTTACATATGTCTGTATATATATATTTGTATGTAGATGTATATTAAGGTAATTGGGTTGTAAGTGCAATAGAAATAAATGACACCGTCTTTCAGTATCTTCTTTAATGGAACCGGTTTAACCTACTGTTTTGTTATTATTTTGTTGTTATTCGCTTGCCATACACACTTACTTACAAAGCAAATGAAAACTAGCTGCTACAAGTCCCAACGCAGTGACACTAGGAAAATTGTAGTAACTAATTGGTAGCCTGAACAATATATACCTACTTTAGCACGACTGCGATTAAGTCTGGCCGAGGTGTGAATATACATACATACATTATATGGTACTATGTACATTTTAGCAATGCAAAGTTGTGTAGTTAAGTAATATTTATTTGAGTAAATCATAAAAATTACTATGTTGCGATAAGTATCAAGTCATCCCTTATTTGCTTATATTGGGTGGTCGCAAAAGTTTTTTCGTATTTTGTCCAGATGTGGTTACAGACGTATGTATATCTCCAATGCTACCAATCACATTGTGTTATACCATGTAGTGTTGGAAAGGTGAGATTTTAAGCTTCGTTTAACCAAAAAAAATTTAAAATTTTTTTATTTATTATTATAAATATAAAAAAAAAGTTGATTAGAAATACGAAAAGACTTTTTCGACTACCCAATATGATGCTTATATAAACATAACATATTAAGTAATATTTATGCGCAAACCAAAAACAAAAATACATAAATGTTTTGTTGACCAGTTTTATTTATAATGACTTTTGGACTGCATATCTTATTATTATTTTTTCTTTTTTTCGCTAATAAAAATTTGTATGGGATTTAATTTATATTTTAATAAAGCACCTTCGCGCGTTATTATTACTACAGGTTTATTATTTTTGGTTATGTGTGACCTTAATTAGGAAAGAGAGTAACCATTCCACAACACTGATTATTTGTTATTGCTGCACACACATTAAAACATAAACACAATTATTAAGTATTAAATTTTATTTAATTACAAAAACAGAATGCAAACCGTGCTTTAATAAGTTTACAATAACAACAATAACAACGGTTAGCAAAAATTGAATGGAAACTGGCCACTTGTCACTGGCAGTCGCGCCGTAAATGGCACACGTATGACTTTGAAATTCCCTCAAACGAGATCAAAATAAGTAAACAGAACATCGCCTGCTTAGTATGCTAGACAACGCAACGGTTTATGAGCTGGATTAGTGACTGTGCTTGGTAGGCATGCTTGTTTGCAAACAATTGTAAAAATTATAAACCATTTGAGCAACCAAGCAGTAAGTTTTTGTAATGTATTAGGATTTTGTAGTTGAGAGCTTAATAACTGTAATAGAACATTTCGAAACGCGATAGCTAAATTTAAAACTGCGTCTCACCTATAGCTTGTGGCAAGTGCGGCTGCGTCCTAATCCAATTTTCCAACACTTTGACAAGTTCATCTAATTCAGGTCTTAAAACCATTTTGTTTCTGGAAGGAATTGCAAACACCAAACCAGAGAAATTAGAAAAATAACGCAATTAGTTTTGTAAACAAAAAATCAGTGAACATCAAATTAGTTTTGTGAATTCCACGTGAGAATTGTTTCTTTCACTATTGCACTTTTTGGTTTATCCACTTCTCAAACACACATATGTTCTACGGTAGACTGAAATTTACACTTCTATGCAAAAGATGAGCAACGTTGACAAACGAACTACCGCTTGCAAGATACCCGCAGCAACTGTGCTCGCCTCCAAGCCGGACGAACTAATATGTACATATATATAAGCACGGCGACAAACTTCTACGAAGTTAGCTTGCATAGTACAAAGTACGAAATGAGCATCACGTTTAAGCCATATTTTTTGCGATTGTGGCTCCGATAGAGTCGATCCAGTGTTAAAAATTAAATGCAGCAATTTGGGCCACATCCCGGCAGTCACAATGGAAACTATTCATTTTCTTATTTTTTCCCATATTTTTAAATTCATTGTCAATTCCAAGCAAAGTTACTTATGTACAAAACGTTGTTTATTTAGCGACATTGGAATTTACTGCAGCGACCGTTACGCATGCGCGAGCACATCCTATTTATCAAAAGCCGCCCAAGCATTTGCACTCACCTGGATAGACGTGTCGATTCAATATATTTCGAAATGTAACATATTGATACTTAATTTAAAAGAATGAAAAAAATAAATAAATAAAAAATGCAATTGTTAGATAGAAGACTTGATGATTATCACGGATCGTGGAGTTTTAAATAATGATTTGGTTACGATGGCAAAATAGAGATTTAAGTCTTAAAACTTTTAAAATTACTTATAATACATTTGTACATCCTGTTGATCATATTTAATGCATAAGTATATGCATTCTGTTGAACCGAAACTCAGATGTATTCATATGTGTGGCTGTTCCCATTGGCGCAAATTAAAAACTTCGCTTATGTTGTTAACAGCGCCATCTATACTATTAACACCTAACTTTCTCGTATATTTTGTTTTAATAAAGCTTTTAAATTTTAACACTTTGGCAACTCTGAACACAAAAAGCAAACACGAGCCGCATCGTCAACTACACGCAGAAATTAAAGAAAAACATTGAAGAATACACTAATTTTTTTTAATTATTTAAGTAATATTCAATATTTATAAAAGAAAATACATTCGGAGTGGGAAAAAGGCAACAGCAGTTTAATAAAAAACAGTTTATACATACTGTATACAAAAACATAGTAACAACGTGCCGCGTGGAGCAGCACATACAGTTAATATATTTGGCAGTATATTTAAGCCGCAGCACTGAATTCGTGCCACGCGCCCCTTCCGCTAGTCCACAGGATGGTACCAATAGGTGTTGTACACGGTCATCCGGGCGTGCACCAACCACAACCAATGCCCACGGCACCTTCGGGTCCCAACACCCTACAATCTTCTTCATCAGCAACAACTAGCACTCCGTCAAACAAGAGTTCAATGTCTGTAAAACCGAACTATGCGCTGAAGTTTACTTTGGCTGGACATACGAAAGCAGTGTCCGCTGTTAAATTTAGCCCAAACGGGGAATGGCTAGCTAGCTCATCGGCCGATAAACTGATAAAAATATGGGGTGCGTATGACGGTAAGTTCGAAAAAACCATATCTGGCCATAAACTCGGCATTAGTGATGTCGCTTGGGCGTCTGACTCGCGTCTATTGGTAAGTGCGAGTGATGACAAAACGCTAAAAATTTGGGAACTGAGCTCAGGAAAATGTTTAAAAACACTTAAAGGACACAGCAATTATGTTTTTTGCTGTAACTTTAATCCGCAATCTAATCTAATAGTATCAGGCAGTTTTGATGAAAGCGTACGTATATGGGATGTTCGTACCGGCAAGTGCTTGAAGACTCTTCCAGCTCATTCTGATCCAGTGTCTGCAGTTCATTTTAATCGTGACGGCTCTTTGATTGTAAGTTCAAGTTACGACGGACTTTGTCGTATTTGGGATACAGCGAGTGGACAGTGCCTGAAAACACTGATTGATGACGATAACCCACCAGTAAGCTTTGTTAAATTCTCTCCCAATGGAAAGTATATTCTGGCTGCGACGTTGGACAACACTTTGAAGCTGTGGGACTACTCGAAAGGAAAATGTTTGAAAACTTATACAGGCCATAAAAATGAAAAATATTGTATATTTGCAAATTTTTCTGTAACCGGTGGCAAGGTAAGTGAAAATAAGTGTTAGAGCTTTGTGCCAACAAATTTGTATGCAATTTTTGTTTGCTTTCGCAGTGGATTGTGTCAGGCAGTGAAGACAACATGGTTTACATATGGAACCTACAGAGTAAAGAAGTTGTGCAAAAGTTGCAAGGTCATACAGATACTGTTCTGTGTACAGCATGTCATCCAACTGAGAACATAATTGCTTCTGCAGCGCTAGAAAACGACAAGACGATCAAATTATGGAAAAGTGACACTTAAAATTATCTGGCCGCTTATTTTGCTTATTTGCATACTTATAGTTTATTGATAAAATTAGTTTAAGAAATTATTATCAAAACCTTTAATATATGTATCTACTTTTTAAAACAAAAACTCACATATATATAAATTCATCTATTTCATTTCTGATATGTATCTGTACGAAGACGAAATTGTCATCAAAATAAAGTTCTGCACCAAGAATTCCGCGTCTGGGTTCCTTTCTTAGCAAACAAAAGTTCGAATGAATCGAACATCATACTTATCTGAACACTGAATTCGGGGGTTTCTATTATAAGTTTGCGGCAATTTCGCAATATGATGGACTTGTTTGACAACCACAAAATCCAATGTCATTTTGCAGACAATAATATTTTTTATTAGATACGGCAACATTGTTTTCTTATCCACGTGAAGCAAACTGGTGAAACTGCATCATCAGTCGTCTGCATTTTCCAAAATATCCAAATTTGTTTCGTGTATACCTTTTCATAATAATACGATAAAATAAATATTTTGCAGCATGTCAAAGGCGAAAGGAAAAAAGAAAAACGAACGGTTCGAAGATGAAGAGGATTCTGAACAAGTGAAGCCAGTGCCCAACAAGAAGAATAGTAAAAAGGGAAAAAAGGGTAAACGTGGCGGAGATTCTAGTGAAGACGAGTCTTTAGCTAGTAGCAAAGTGACCAGTATTGATGCCGATGATTTGGAAAGTATACAGTCTGGAACTAAAATGGCGCCTTCGAAAGGAAAAAAGGGAAAGAAAGGCAAGCGAAAAGATGACTGGAGTGATAATGATGACGAACCAGATGATATCGTACAAATAGGTGGTAAGAATAAATTGTCAAACGCACAAGACAGTGATGATGAGGAAGTTATTGTTCCTCAACCAAGTTCCATTGCTAAGAAACAGGGAAAGAAAGGAAAAAAGAATAAAAAGAAGGATGAATTTAGCGATGATGAGGACAGTAATACTCCAAAGTCAAATTTCCTTGATTTGGAAGAAGAAGATGATGAAGATCTTATTGTAGCCGCTAAACCATCAGCAAAAAATTCTAAAAAAGAACAGCAACACAAAGTCAATAAATTTGCCATTAGTGACGATGATGACGAAGACGAAGAGATTGAGGACGAGTTAGGACAAGAAGAAAACTCAATTGAAACGGTTAAGCTTGATTCAGAGAAAAGCATAGCGAGTACAGAAAATGTAGAAGACTGTGAAATTACCAAACAAATCCAAGATTTGCAAATTGAAGACAACGTACCTAAAGAAATTCAACTTTTACCCGATGAGGACCAAACAGAGGAAAAAGAAATCAAAGAAGCAGCTAAAGAGGATACAGTTGAATCTACTTTAAAAGAAAAAAAGTTAACCCACAAAGAAAAAAAGAAACAAAAGAAACAACAAGAATACGAAAAACAAATGGAGCTTATGACAAAGAAGGGTGGCTCTGGACATTCCGACTTAGATAGCAACTTCACTATGAGTCAAGTGCAACGTACTGCTGGTCAGCAAGCACAATTAGAACACGCAGTCGACATTAAAATCGAAAATTTCACCATATCAGCTAAAGGTAAATTATTGGTACAATTATTTTAAAACTTCCTTCGGATCGGACTGTAACCATTTGTATCTTTTACAGGCAATGACTTATTTGTGAATGCCAACTTGTTGATTGCTCACGGACGTCGCTATGGTTTGGTAGGCCCTAATGGTCATGGAAAAACTACTCTACTCCGTCATATAGCCACTCGCGCTTTTGCTATACCGCCTAATATTGATGTATTGCTTTGTGAACAGGAAGTCGTGGCCACAGATAAAACAGCGATCGATACGATTCTAGAAGCTGATGTAAAGCGAAATAACCTTTTGGCAAAGAGCAAAGAGTTGGAGGATCAGTTTGCCGCTGGCGATATGAGTGTGCAAGAAGAACTAAATGACACATTTGCAGAGTTAAAAGCTATTGGAGCGTATTCGGCAGAAGCCCGTGCTCGACGTATTTTGGCTGGTTTGGGTTTTAGTGAAGAAATGCAAAATCGTCCGACTAACAAGTTTTCTGGTGGCTGGCGTATGCGAGTCTCATTAGCCCGTGCCCTTTATTTGGAACCAACGCTACTTATGCTTGATGAACCTACAAATCATTTAGATTTGAATGCTGTTATATGGTTGGACAATTATTTGCAAGGTTGGAAGAAGACTCTACTGATAGTTTCTCACGACCAGAGTTTCTTGGATAATGTATGTAACGAAATAATTCATCTCGATCAAAAAAAACTTCATTATTATAAAGGTAATTACTCGATGTTTAAGAAAATGTATGTTCAAAAGCGTCGTGAAATGATTAAAGAATATGAGAAACAAGAGAAGCGTATTAAAGAGTTGAAAGCTCATGGCCAATCGAAAAAGGCGGCTGAGAAAAAACAGAAAGAAGTTCTCACGCGTAAACAAGAAAAGAATAAATCTAAACAACAAAAGCAGGACGATGATGAGGGCCCACAGGAACTATTGGCTCGTCCGAAAGAATATATTGTCAAATTCCGTTTTCCAGAACCATCACAGTTACAACCGCCCATTTTAGGTATCCACAACGTTACCTTTGCTTTTGAAGGTCAGAAACCTTTGTTTATCAACACTGATTTCGGTATAGATCTAACCAGTCGGGTGGCCATTGTAGGACCGAACGGTGTGGGAAAATCTACTTTTCTGAAATTGCTATTAGGCGAACTCGAACCGCAAAAAGGAGAACAAAGAAAGAATCATAGACTACGTGTTGGTCGCTTTGACCAGCACTCCGGTGAACATTTAACAGCTGAGGAATCTGCAGCGGAATATCTGCAGCGTCTGTTCAATCTCCAACATGAAAAAGCACGTAAAGCTCTTGGTTCCTTTGGTCTCGTAAGCCATGCCCATACAATTAAAATGAAGGATCTTTCTGGTGGACAAAAAGCACGTGTTGCACTCGCCGAACTCTGCCTGAGTGCTCCTGATGTTTTGATCCTTGACGAGCCAACTAATAATTTGGATATTGAGTCTATTGATGCATTGGCAGAGGCCATTAACGAATATGAGGGTGGAGTGATAATAGTTTCTCACGACGAAAGATTGATACGTGAAACTGGATGTACACTATACGTAATAGAAGACCAGACGATCAATGAAATCGATGGTGAATTCGATGACTACCGCAAGGAGGTTCTCGACGCACTAGGAGAGGTTGTCAATAATCCCAGTGTCGTTGCCAATGCAGCTGTATTGCAATAACAACCGCTTTCTTTGAAGTTAGTAATTTGAAATTGTTTTGTTACACATACTATACAAATAACATATTGAAATTATTTAAAGAAATATACTGTTAAAGTTGAATTTAAAAAGGCACCACTTAAACTCAAGATGAATATTTTTCGTGCTATGATAAAGAAATAATGTGAAATTATGCTTAAAATACATGTTATAAAAAAGAGATCGATTCATTTGAACGGTCAATGCTTTAATTATTGTTATTATATTAAATTAACACATTTTGTTTAATGTGTTAATTTAACGTGTTAATTTAACATGTTTAATAACAATGGATATATCATTAGGATTAAATTCCCTCCATAAGTAGTTACATATGTAAACAACCGTCGTCTAGCCCATTCATAATATTTTGCACACAACCCTCAATGATTAAAAATTTCAATTGCACGCACCAATATAATTAAGCTGGTTTTATATGAAACATAGATATGTGGCATCACTATTAGAGCTTTTAAATTTGCTTTGTCAAATGCAATTTATAAGCAGGTTGTCACAAGTTTCCCATTTTCAGTGAACGTATAAACTCGGCGAAAAAAATAAAAACGATGAAATTTGAAAGTATATCGCTTTTTTAGGTATTTGCTAAAAAGTGCTTTGAATCGTTAAACATTTCGTTGGTAAATTTCTAAATATCAAGTACGGAAACACGCTTTCCTTAAGGATTAATAAAGTCTTCAGAAACAAAAGTTATGAATGAATTGGGAACAGAGGGATCAGACTCAAATGCTTTGACCTCAAAGAGCGAACAAGTTTCTTTTATTGGTTTAGAAAATAACATTGGACAAAGCAATACATTCAACAATCCGACAATTGTAAAATTTCCTGAAAATAAAAGAACAATGGATAATGAAAATATCCGCCTGCCTATTGAAGGCATGACTTGCCAGAGTTGCGTAAGGAATATCGAGAGCACAATATCAGGAAAGCCAGGAATAATAAATGTTCGTGTCGTTCTTGAAGAAAAATGTGGTTATTTTGAATATAACCCCGAGCAAACGGATCCCAGCAAAATCGCATTTGAAATAGAGGAAATGGGTTTCGATTGTCCGTATACGCTATCACATCAGGCCTTTGAAAAGACCATGCGAAGGGACAGTTGTGTTGGTGCCGAGACTCAAATACGCATTATTGGTATGACTTGCAATTCATGTGTTCGGAACATTGAAGGAAATATAGGAACAAAGCCTGGTATATTACAAATAAACGTTAGTTTAGATGATAAGTGCGCTACGGTAAAGTACGATGCAAGACAATTTACGCCCACAGACATTACTGATATGATTGACGACATGGGTTTTGAAGCAACCGTATTGGAAAAAGATAACGTTGGTGACGGAATTAGTTCAAGCAAAGTTTTAACTGAACAGAATTCAAAATCGCCTAAGAAGCAACAGGTGGCAAATGTAACATCTGCGAACATTTCCCAAAAAGCTCATACAGAAGTGTCCATGGATGGGTCGCTATCCAAATGCTTTCTACATATACGTGGTATGACATGCGCCAGTTGTGTGGCAACTATTGAAAAACACTGTAAAAAGATATACGGGCTGGATAGTATACTTGTTGCACTACTTGCTGCTAAAGCAGAAGTGAAATATAATGCAAATGTTGTGACAGCGGAAAATATAGCGAAATCCATCACAGAACTGGGATTTCCTTCAGAAATCATCGATGAACCGGGCAGTGGCGAGTCGGAGGTAGAAATTGAAATCACAGGTATGACCTGCGCGTCTTGTGTGAACAAAATCGAAACGCACGTATTAAAAGTGAAAGGCGTTACTGCAGCGTCTGTTACGTTATTGACTCGAAAAGGTATGTGAACAATAATATAAATAATCTTAAAACTTTGTTGAAAGGTTTTCTTGCCAACTAGCGATAGTAATTACATACACTATATAGTCAA